GCCCGTCCCCCCCCCCCGTGAGGGGCGCCCCTCAGCCACCAAAAGCAGAGGCCGTCCCGCACTCACCCCGCAACCTTTACCGGCGAGCGGGCTGCGTGAGGGCGCGGGGGGCGGCAAGGTGGACTGCGGGGGAAGCCAGGCTGCGCTTCCTCCCCCAGGAACTCGACGGCGGTGACGGGCTTGCCGATGGTGAACCAGTCGTTGATCTGCTCCGCCGTGAGCTGCCGCAGCATGATGGCGGCACCAGCACGCGGCTGACCGGCACGCGCTTCGCACCGCGCGTCCCACCTCACGCACGGCGCGCCTGTGCCCTTCACCGTGCCTCCACCTCCCCGCCGGCACGTGACCCAGCCCCCTCCCCTCTGCCTCGCGCCGCCGCCTCAGCTGAGGGGAGGGCGCCGTCATGGGCGGCTTCACTCCGTCCTACGGTGCCGGAGGCGCTGGGGTACTCGGTTTCACCCCCCCCCACATCGTGGCCACGGGTACACACACCAGAGAAGGGAGACCACCGGTGCCCTCACAGACAGCCCGTCACCCCCCCCCGTGAGGGGCGCCCCTCAGCCACCAAAAGCAGAGGCCGTCCCGCACTCACCCCGCAACCTTTACCGGCGAGCGGGCTGCGTGAGGGCGCGGGGGGCGGCAAGGTGGACTGCGGGGGAAGCCAGGCTGCGCTTCCTCCCCCAGGAACTCGACGGCGGTGACGGGCTTGCCGATGGTGAACCAGTCGTTGATCTGCTCCGCCGTGAGCTGCCGCAGCATGATGGCGGCAACGGCACGCGGCTGACCGGCACGCGCTTCGCACCGCGCGTCCCACCTCACGCGCGGCGCGCCTGTGCCCTTCACCGTGCCCCCTCCCCCGGCACGTGACCCAGCCCTCTCCGCTCTGCCTCGCGCCGCCGCCTCAGCTGAGGGGAGGGCGCCGTATTGGGCGGCTTCACTCCGTCCTACGCTGCCGGAGGCGCCGGGGTACTCAGTTTCACCCCCCACACACACACACATAGAACAATGGTGGAGAGCGGTTCTGGAATGCTCGTGGTCTGGAGGAAGCGGCCTGCAGGCACGTAGGTGCCTCAGCCCTGCTGATTCCGACTCCGCGGGTGCCCCCCGGCCCTCCGGGACAAGCTGTTCTCTAAGCGATACGCTGTGTAAGAACTCGCGACCAGCCCTTCCCGGCATTGTTCCCTAGGTAGGACCCTTGCTGCGCTCCCTTCTCAGGAGCGTGGTGGTGCTGATGGGCTAAAACATTGTGGTGAGGCAGACCCTGGGCTTTTTTTTTTTTTTTGGAAGAGCGTGGGCTTTTTCAGCGACAGGAACTCTGTGAGGGGCGGGCGAGGCCCTGCAGCGGCTGAGGGGGTGGCGAGAGGTGATGGGACATGGGGAGCGGAGCTGGGGCTTGCCGGCCGCAGGTGGGAGGGCGAGGAGCGCTCTGGTCCTCCGCAGCCCTAGGGGGCGCTGCGCGGCGGCGGCGCCTCTCTTTCGGCTGATGCTTTGCCTCGTTGGTGTCTCCTTTCCCAGCGTCCCCCGCGGCGGTAGCGGAGCCTGTCCCCGCTCGGTGACCTTCGCTGCCAGCTCGGGCCCTCCCCGCTCTTAACGGTGGGTTTCAGCCCCTGCTGGGTTTTGGTGGGCATGGCCCGGGGGTGGGGGTGGATCTCGGGGAGGCAGTTGTGGTTCAGGCCGCGAAAGAAGGCGGTAGGGAGCTGGAAACGTGGCCTGCCTGCGGTGCTCGAGTTCTGCCGTTACCGACCTGGCCCGCCGTGCGGTAGTAGCTGTGTGGGGCAGGCCCCCGGCGGGCGGTAGGTTCCCCGGACTGCGGTGGGGTCACGGCGGGGAGGTCAATGAGAAAGCAAATTCAGCATCGTTCCGGATAGGTTTCAGTTAAAAGGCCTGAACAACGTCGCATCTACCCAGGCCTTGGGGAGAGGCCTCTGCTGGGTTTTAGCAGGGTGTTAATTGGAAAGAGCATTGCTTATTCCCTGTGTTTTGCAATGACGGGAAAAATCCTTTATTTGCTTTCTGTTCAGTCGCCCTCTTTGTTAATATGTCTTAAATTTTTCTTATAGCAGAATTATTGCTATTATGGCACTACTCGTTTGCAACTACAAATACTGGGATCTTTGGGGGAGGTGCGGTGTTTTTAATAGTGTTGCTGAAAGCACAGCACTTAAGGGAATTCTCTCCACAATAATAAATTTGATTGAAGTGTCTGTCCATAAAGAAGTAAAGATATGTGTGGGTTTGTCTATAATTATACAATAATTACCATGAAGATGCTTTCATTCTTTAAGAAGCACCTGGATTTTTCCAGTTGTTTTGACATTGACTGTCCTTGCATCCTTTTTGATGCTTGCTAAAGGATGCTTTACATTTAGTAATGGCAAATAAGTAAGTAAGCAAGCATTACTTCATAGAAGTTCAAATCCACTTTTCTTTCCTGGGACTTTAGTTTACCATATACTGTTAATATGTGTATATAACGGACTTTATTGGGTTGTAGTAAGTGTAAATAGTGACTTTATTGGGGTGAAGTGCTGTATGGAAGACAGTAGAACATGTAATATGGCAGTGCAGTGTGATGCACATGTGTACTAACATGTTGTATGGGAGTTAGGATAAACTTTATTTTTAAACAGTTTGCAGTTTTCTGTTTGTCTAAAAAGTCTGCATAGAAAGGGAAAAAAAAAAATTGATAAGCTTCTTGCTCTTGGGACATATTTTGAAAGTAAAATATTTATGATAAATCATTAATTCAGTAACTTAGCTTCATTTATTTTGCTATTTTGAGTAGAAATTACCAGGTTGGAAGAGACAGCTGCGGGGCAGGGAGGGAAACTAACTTGGTAATACAAGGAAGGAGCCTCTCTAGCTTGTCTGGAATGAGGCTTTCCTCCTGAGAGAATCTGGAAACATTAAAAAAAACCAAAACTGTCACTTATAGTGAGAGGAGCCTAGCTATTGCTACTCTGTAAATGCTTTATTGAGTCATCTTTGAACCCTTTCATCAGCTGTAATTTATTATTTTTTATTGTCCTAGCCCATAAATTGTAACCTTTACTCTGAATTTTCATTGCTTTGCTTTAAGTACTTTTGCACATTTGGGGATTACTCTTTTTTTAACCTGTAAACTGCTGTTCATACATATCAGGAGTGTGTGTGTGTATATACATAAATATATATATATGTATATATATTAAAAAAACCAGCAGGTAAGAATACAGTTGCAAAACTCACCATTGCAAAAACTTCTTATAATTTTCAGATGGTGCAGACTATGCTTCCAAAATCATGGAGAGCCATGAAATTCTACTTCACTACTGTGTATCAAGAAATATGGGTTGGTGTAGCATTAACAGCTTACGCTTATTACAAAATTTCTTATGGTGGTAAGTTACACATTATGGTCTTCATTACTGGTTACTTAATAGATAAGGTTATAGTAGAAATTAGTTATTGAAAATATCCAGCAAATAAGAAATTAACGTGCTTACTAGGGCCAGGTCTTTGCCATAAAAATTTAAAAAGTTTTAACATGCACAATGTAGAAGGTTACACTAACAGAAATACTCAAATACCAGCGTAACTGTGCCTATGTTATGAAAATGAGGCAACATAGGAATTGGTTTTAAAAATGCACATCTAACTTGCAACGTATAGCCAGAGTCTTCTGTAGATTTGTGTTGAAGGGGAATGTAGCACTTCTGAACTAGAACTTACTTCGATGAGAAGTCTTTTTTAGAATCATTATGTTTTTGGGTTTTACTCAAGATCTGCAAAAAAAACCCCCAATAATAATAATGTTTATAAAAGGTTTTCCCATGTGAACTTGTGAAAACAGTTTATTTTGGGCTGCTGCACCACAAAATGTGAGGTATATCATTGAACATTAAAATGTGTGTTACTTGGTGATATTGCATCACTTTCTCAGAGGAAGAAACAGAACATCTAATGTAAAAATAATAAATTTGAGTGGCCAGGTTATGATCTTTCATGAACAATGAAATGTTATAAACTGTAGACAAGCCTTGACAGCAAAAGGAACCCTTCACTGTGGGAACAGTTGAGTGGTGTTACCTCAACATTTCTCTAGCTTTGTCCAAATAAGTTATAGCTTCTCCAAAACTGTTACACTACACTTATAAGCTTAAGTGAATATAAGTGGTTGAACAGCCAGAGAGAAAAAAACCCTAGTTTTATTTTTGCTTTAATTCCTTTAATTTCCAGGAGAATTCAAAATTGAAAGACTGTTTCAAGTTTGTGTTCGTGTCATCCTACTTTTATTTTCATTTCCGATTTAGAAAATAGATGTGGCGGTGTAAGATTTTGAGGGCCAAAATCTTGGTCTGGAGCAATATTATTTTAAAGTTAAAATAGCTTTTAATAGCTGTAGCCCTTTTTGCAGTTTGGGGAACAGTTTTGCAAACAATACATGAATTGATAAAAGAGTATGTTGTAGGATAACTTAGGTTGGAAGGGATTGAGCTCACCTGGTCCTAACCAGTGCTTAAAGTAGTTAGATCAAAGTTTGATCAGGTTGCTTACAGCCTTATTCATGATTCAAAGTAATATTTCCAAGGGTGGAGATTGCACAACCTCTTATGACTGTCTTCCTTATGAATAATTTTTTCCATCTATTTTTGTCTGATTACTGTTTAGGAGAACAATTGCAGTGGGAATGTAAAATAAGCTATTTTATTTACAAAGGAAGATTTTAAAGATATATTTTTTTCAAGTGTATTCTTACCACTTTAGTTTACACCTGTATGTTGTGTGTATATATATCCATATAGTATAGAAGATTGTACCATTCTGTATATGTTTCTTTTGAATTATAGTAGGAGTCTTGAAGGCTATAATTTCTAAATGCATGTAGTCTTGCTTAATTAAAACCAAACAATGTTTACAAAATTAATAGAACTTTTACTGACATGTACCATGGAAAGTACATGTTGTACACTTCTAAAACCTTGTTCAGGCTGAATTAGCAAATCATAAGTGGTATAATCTAATTGAAGTTTATCTGCAAAAAATAAATAGGAAATATTTTTTTTTAAACTGTCATTGTTCAGCTTGTTTTTTTCTTTTTTTCCAGGCAAAAAAGCAGTGGCAGATAGTAAGTATAAATACATAATACCCGGTTGCATTTTTTAAACGAGTGCAGTAAAAATTAGCTCAGCATATTTTGTTTAAGTTAGGGACTCAGAAAATGTTTAAAGACTATGTCAAAATTTCTACTTCTGGTTGTATTGATGGTTTTATAACCTAGAAACTTGTATTTTGAATTGTATTTTTATATGTTCCATAAAGTAGTGTTTAGATATTTGTGGACAGTTTCTTCTAAAATCACATTGGAATTTAATTTTTCATGAGCTGCTGTATCTCAGTTAACTTTCTGCACCATGATAGCCCATTTGCTCCCAATTGAATTTGTATATGCAAATACTGTTAATTTTTTTTAATGTTTAATTAGTGAAAATACTGCCCAGTAGACTTAAGGATAATAGCATAAATAAACTTTAATTTAGAACCAAACGAAATCTGAGGAAGAATGAATGCTTGCCTATAATAAGTGCTTTAATACTTGTGAAAGAGGATTTTTTAGTATTGGCCAAGTTTAATTATGTATTTTGAGGGTTTTGTTTTATTTGACAGGGCAGTTGAATCTGCCAGTTCTTGTGTCAGATGTACACACAGTTACCTGTTTTAGGTTCTGAACTATGTTCCTGAATTGATTTTGCTCTGCTTTTTGAACAGTCTAAATCGTGTCTTTGTTTCAGAGTCCTCTGGTGCTGGCCATCATTAAAGACCTCTTCTCTTCTGGGAGTATGAATTTGGTGTTTTGTCATCTTTACTGTAAATGAAGGAAGTTACAACCATAGGGAACTTAATTCTAAAACTGTACCTGATCCATCTGCTGTAATTAGAGAAAGAATAAATCCACTGAGCAATGAGGAATTAAACATGTTGGACAAAGTATGCTGGAGTGTATTGTTAACCTAACTTTTAGAATAAGTATTTTTTGTTTTCTACAGTTCTTCCAAGTTCCATGTTAAACTTTTTCAATAGTACTTTGAAAATGACTACATTTCTATAACTAAACTTCTCAATAGAATTAACCAATATTTCTTAGAATAGCATTAAGTCTTTTTTTCTAGTGATATCTTTTCTGACTAGAACTTTTGAAATACTCCATTTGCTTTTAAAATGCTCTTTAATAATACGCCAAGTGTGAAGATTTAATTCTCAGCTTTTTGTCAACTTGTGGTGCAATAATGAAGGGTATAAAAAGTTTTTTTTAAAACTTTAGATTTTTTTAAAAATAGTTCTTAGTCCTGCAAGGTTTACAGGCAAAAGCTGTATTGTTATTGAAACACTATACAAAACATTTCCAGAGGTTTTTAAGAAGTTCTTTATTGGCAACTATCTTTTTTTTGTTCTTCATATTCAGTAGAGCTAAGGAATTGCTCTGAAAGGCTCTTCCTTTAGTCACAAATTTTACAAAGGAGTAAGTAATAATATGCCCATATTACATGAGGAAAATTGATATTAGATGGGCCCTCATCTGCCATTTGATCTTATGAAAATCTCAGAATTTAAAGGGAATAATGACATCCCACACAGTGACAACAGCTCATATGAGCATAAACAAACATTCAGCTGACTTCAAAGAGTTTTCCTTTTTCCTGTAGAAATGTAGAAGTAATATATGTATTACTAGGATGGGTCACTAGTGGTTTTTGCAGGTAACTATTAAAGTAACCCCATAGCTAGTATTATATTTTGGAGATGCTAGTAACCTATTAGTTCTTAGAGAAATCAGTTTTCAGAACTGTACCTACTGAATTCTGTACTGAGGATACACAGTGTATAAACCGAAGTTGGACTTCATGTCACGTTTTGTTTAAATTTAGCCTAATCTGCTTTTGAGAAGATTAAGAAGCTTAAGTCATCTTAATGACTTAATGCTTACGTACATCTTTTTAACTGCTTCACTGAAACATCTGAAATCTTTCAGCTTGATTAAAGTTCTGCTTTTCAATCTCGCTGACTGCAGAATCTGACCATAACTTAAATATTTTGTATTTGAATACTGAGGAGCTAGGTAACTTTACCTGCTGATGGTAAATATTCCAAACACTGTGTTGCCTTTAATTTCTTCAAAACTTATACTTCTGCTTACGCTAAATAGCTATACCTACTATGGGTAAAGTTACCAGTCATATTTCTCTGAAAGCTTTTTTTAAAGGCAGGTATAGCATTACTCAATTTGAAAAGAAAAGGTGGCATCTATCTTTCATGTATTCTTGACGTTTTTTCCACTATCCACAGTTTACCTTGTTGTTGCATCTTCCCTTGATACATTTTAGCTGATTCTTTCATCATTTTCATCATTTCTGTATGGGTTTTTCAGTGTTTCCTCACTACAGAAAAAGGAATGAGAAGTAGAAAGAAGTTACTGCATTTCTTTACATAAAACCAAAAGCATCCAGAAGAAGGGAATAGAGAATAAAATCTAGAAGAAAATGGAGCTTCAAATGAACAGATATTAGGCCACTGGTGATTACAGGGTGGGTCAGAGTTGTGGTATAGTTAATAAGTGGTTCAGATTGAAAATTTATGCCAGGTAAGGAGCTACAAGTGCATTTGTAATGCAAATTTATGATCACTAAGTTATAGTTCCTAAGTTATAGTTCCTAAGATACCACACATAACTTCAAATGACCTGCTTTAGCAATTTTCAATTACAGAGCTGAGGAAAACAAGCTAAGGAAAAAACATTAATCACCAGAGGATTTGCTTCACCTTAGCTAGAACCTAGCACACTGGGACTGAGCTACACCAACGTGCTGTCTGATCTAGATGTTAATTGAAAAGAAAGGAGCTTCTGTTAACCTGCCCTTGGAGCACAGTTAACTGCATTTTGAGGTAAACTTAATCTACTTCAACTTTTAATGCTTCATGATATCTGACTTGCTTGATGTTCTCATAGGGAAAGAAGGGACATAAGGGCAGCAGTGTCTGGGTTATGAAAACTACAAATTCTACTAAAATAATCTATCTGCACCTGATTCTTTCATTAGTGCATGTCTGTCAAAAATTTCTGTGAAGGTTGCAGAATATTCCTTCCGGATTGTGATTCTTAACACAGAAATCTCTGCAAAAGATAAAGGAAGTAAGAATGGTGTTTGTGTTTCAATAGATTTTTTTATTATTTCTTTTTCACTTGAAAGGATACAGGAGAAGGAAATTAACTTTCAGTCAGTGGCTTGACTCAGAAGTAGAAATCAACACACCTTTCCGGATTGTGATTCTTAACACAGAAATCTCTGCAAAAGATAAAGGAAGTAAGAATGGTGTTTGTGTTTCAATAGATTTTTTTATTATTTCTTTTTCACTTGAAAGGATACAGGAGAAGGAAATTAACTTTCAGTCAGGGCTTGACTCAAAAGCAGAAATCAACACCCCATAATATGTAACACCTGTAGCACTGTCTATATACTTTCTGCTCCTCTCTGCTGAAGCGTACCGGGCAGTATAAAAGACAATAGAGCAAAGTTAGCAGAGGCATTTCTTACTTACGGTGAGGTGTGGAAGGAGTAGTCAGTTTTCTTTGGAGCACTAGCATCTGGACTGTAGCCTTAGGTAGAGAAGCATTGCAAAGGAGTAACCTTAAAGTGAATTATTTTAGAACACGTGCTTTTTTTTTTTTCCTAATGTAATTAGGGTGATTCCTGAAGTTAACTTAAAACAAAAAGGTTTTCTTGTTCCAGGTAAGTGTCTATATAGACAAGCCTCAGCTTTGGAACTAGCTCATTTTCTATGCAAATGAATATTTAAGATCAGGACTTTAATCCATGGAGGTTAATATTCATTATGATTCACAATTGAACACTGGTGGGGGAAATGCTTACTGCTTATTGGTGGATCGTGCTGTTCCCATTTAGCTGCTGCTTCCTTATATTGCTGACATTTCTAAAGCAAGAGGATTGCATTCAAACTTTGTATAGTAAAATAGTACAGCAACTGCATTTTTCATTTGTTGCCTGCAATAAGGCATCAGCAATGACAAAAAGTGACTGTTTACTGCCTCTGCAATGTTGGTGGAACAACAAACTCCTATAGGGATTGAAAAGCCTTATCCAGTTACTGTAGCACCATCTTGACCAAGTTTTGCTATGGCACTGGTAATTGTTTATTTTTTTAAATCAATACAGAACATGAAAACTCAGCAGTAGGGACATCAATAATGACAACATTAATGCAAGATACGGGCTTTTTACAGTACAAGTACTTCTGTACTTATGGCCAGGATTTCTCATTGTGGAGCTCTGAGATTACTAGAACATTGTCAAGTGGTGTCCTACAATTAGGAATCTCTGAGTATCCCCTGCATGCTAATGAAGTATTATGGAATACTCTAGGGGAGAAGCAAAATACAGTCAGAGCCAAGGAAACATTAGTCACAGGGCCCAACCTACTTAACCTCTTTAATGGTTAACTTGGAAAAAACCCTGATTGTGTATTCATGTTAATTGTGAGGATGAGTAAAGTTGCAGGAAATGATCTAAAATAACTAAAACAGCTGAACCATTCTCCCGTTTATCTGAATCATGATGGCAAAACACTGTGTGTAGTACAAATACAGCCTGATACAGAGCTGGTATGTATACATGTATTGTACTTTCAGTCCCCAAGGAAAGAAAACTCTCAGGTGCTTGTTAGACACAAGTGATTATATGTGACATCACCTCCAGATGGCTGAAATGAAACTGAGGAAATCAATGTGCAGAATCGCTATTGTTTCATTCACGGAAATCTGTAAAGCTACTAGGAAGGAAAGAATAGTAAGATGGAGATTCCCTGAGGCATTAAATATGTTGGTTAACAATTCTGTAAATGAGGAACAAGAAGTGACAAGATAGTGCTTGAACAGCAATCTCTTCATACTATAATTCCATGACCTTTAGCAACTAATGTTTAGCAGCTAATAATGTCTTTACTTCAAGAATATAAAGGCATGTGACTCTGATTTGGTAATTTATGAAGAACTCATAAACAAGAAATTCCTGTAGTCTACTCCAGTGCTGCAGGCAAACTACTTGGAAACAATTACTCTCCCCTACCTCAAAATGAACTGACCACCGCAAGAATGGGTTATTTGGAAGTTTTAATTAAATTCTGCTAAGGGTACTGTGATTTCTTTGGTTGTGGTTTTAACAGTACGAGTACTCTGGCAGCTACACCAGCTTGTGGAGTTTCCACCCATACACCACAGTGCCACGCTCCTCATAGTTGTGCTGATACAATTACCTGTGAGACAGCTCAGGCAATTTTTCATAGTTTTGGCGGTTTTTTTCTGTTTTAATTTGGATCCATATCCAGATGCTGTTTACAGCAAAGCTGCTTTATAACTTGCATTACACCACAACAGCATAATTTTTTTGCAGAAAAGGGGTAGAAGAATTAGAATTTCTATTTTCCCCACTTACCCAGCCTTCCTAAGTCATTGTGGCCCATAGTAATTTAATGCAAGTTTCTTCCTCGTACCCAGCTATGTACATGATCAAAGGACTGGCTCTCCCATAAGAACTGTCATCACTGTCAACACTCAGAGGAATAAAAAGAATGCAGGACTCCACCCTGTATACTAATCAGGAATGTCAGCTTGTGCTTCAGCAAAAAGGCAGAACCTTGCTTCCTTCCTCTCTGACAGCACATCACTTTATCAGGTTTATAGTATCACTTAATTAATTGGGACAAATGAATAAACAAGTAGGGAACAGGGAGAACAATTGTACCACAATATCCTAATGCTCAATACTTGCAGGAAGAATACTTCAGTAATAAAGGATAAATTTGAAAGTGGTTTTGCAACACAAATTATATTAGTGGTTGTCATCAAATGAAAATACACTTTTAATTATGACCTTCAGAAACCTAAAATAACTTTTTTTTTTAATTTATATGACCTTCAA